CCGCCCTTTTAGCACTGTTAACTTCACACAAACAAAAGGAGGGAGAACTTGTTTCTTTTCCATTCAGTAGGTTAACTTGTTTCTGCTGTTGTACATAGTAGCAAAAAAGACTAACTGAAGCTTAACTCAGTCACAAAAATTTGGATTTGCGGAGCAAGAGACTGATAGGAGACTGATGCAAGCATGCAAGTGATGGGGGGCAGGGGTCGATTAAGAGCCCCCACATCAGCAGCTTTACAAAGTCACTTTCCACACAGAATAACGACAAATGAATAACCACTCAGCATGTTTAATAACAAAGACCACCACAGGAAGGACACCGGATCCTGATTTAGGACTATTTCAGAAGCAGCTCTCAAAGTACATGATTTCATATCTGGCAGCCTTTATCAACAAGAGGAGACTACCTTCCCTCACCCTCTATTTTTTGGTGTCAAAAAAAACCCCTCACAATATCACAGCCAGCACTACCACTAACTTTAAATACATTGATTTTCAGCACTGATACAAGAATAAGTACACGTGTTCCTATTTTTACAGAACTTATAAACTCAAGCGTTACATAAAGCTCATTATCCTCTTAATTTTTGTGACAGACACCTTTTTTTTCCTGGAATATCTTTTGTTTGCTTTTATACTTGCTAAAATCTGAGGACAAACGAAAGCCCTGAACCTTCTCCTTAAAGGATCTTGACACTGAATGTAGACCATCACTCATTACACTCACATTTACTGAATCCGGATGAGTGGGTTTTTTGCAAGGAATGAACAGTCAAAATGATTCACACAAAATGCTCACCCAGTCCAACAGCAGGTATTTAGGGAAATATCCTCAGGACCACTTCAAAGGTAGTGCAGAGACTGCCTGGACTAGAAGTGATAGCTGCACATTTGATAGCAATGCACATCTTCAGCCTATTCACCAATACTGAGAGCAAGTGCCACAGTACAATTAGGTATTGAGTGGGGAAAAGCATAAGCCTGACTTTTATTTATTTTACACTTACTGCCTGGTAACTTGGAGTGAACTTTAGGGGCCATGGAGAAAAGTTATTCATTCCCTGTCAGTCTGTGCTATACCATTTATTTCACATACCTTTATCACATTGCCTCCCAACTTCCTTGAAATCAAGGGCTAAGATACTCAGGTTAGTATCCTATCTTTGTATTCCAAGATCTTCAATCACCTTACACATCAGTTTGGTCTACAACCAGGTTTTAGAGAAAGCAGGCATGTATATTAAACTAGGTCAACCATTTTCTGAAATCCATGCAGATTCAACCTCTGCAAAGGAGCAGAAAAAGGCAATGACGGTATGGTGGGGTTTTATTCAGTTGTTTTAAAGTCTTCAGCCTTTATTAGATCAAGGCTGTTCTTCAGAAGCTTTACGATTTTTCTTTAGTCTCTTGCTAAAGTTTAGTACTCTAGCTGACTGGACTCTTTGAAAGTGGCATCTGAACAGATCATTATTCCGATATCAAGCCAACAGGGCTGCACCTTTAGCAAGTCCACCTTCTGCCACTTGTTCTCCTCCCATCTCTTCCTGAAGGTCATTTCTTCTTCACTTACCCTATTACTCAAACTGTAGATTTATCAAGCAGAACAACAGATCAAGCATAAGCATGTAATACAGAAGTCCTGGATTAGCCATCAATCATGTCTCGATCACATCACAATCTTTTGTTCCTGCTCCCAAAGTACGGGGAATTTCCACTCTCCTTCGCTGCAGTGAATGCCAAGAGCACTGTTCGTACGATTGTGCAAGCCACTCCCCCACTCAGAGGGACCAGCAGTTGTGTTTTGTGGGGTGGGCGTTGGTTTTTTGTTCTTGTTTTTTTTTTACTTAGTATAAAGCTATACTTTGGTACACTGTCCATACTGCAATCTGAGGAAAACAACCCCACCCTTACAGTATTACTATGAAGAAGATATCTTTATATGAATATAGAAAGCCCACTCAGCACTAACTGTATAATAAATAGAATAAAAACATTTAGCTGCTCCATCTTCTATTCCTTAGCTAGCACACTATTTTTAGACAAAAAAGTCTACCACAAAACAAGAAGTATAATGTTGATGCTCACCACTTTGGCTTTTAAATTTGTACTGAGCACAAATTCACTCTGGATCGACAGATGATAGGAATCATCACATTCAGACCTAAAAATGACAAATGATTCAAGTATCTATAAAAATGGAGAACTAGCAGTATTATCCTCCTCCTGTCCACACTTCACTTGTTTGCATACCCGTGTCAGCAAACCTGAATCCACCATCTCAAACTCTCATCTCATACCAACAAGTATTCTTAGGATGTGGGAACAAAGTGCTACGCAAGGGGGGAAGGGAAGAACGAGACTTCACACTCCTTTGGATTGCAATTATTTAAATTAGGGGGTAGGTTGCATTTTTGCTTTACTTACATGCAAAATGTCATTAACCACAATGTCTTTTTCATAAAGCCAAGCACACTTACACATAGATACGCTTTCTCTATTTTCCATGCACATTACAGCAGTTCTGCATTTATTTAGCAACAATACTGAGCCCTCTGCAAAGGTTTGCTGTAAGTTCAGAACAGAGAACAGCCTACATTTCATGTTTCCTTCCTTCTGCAAAGTTGAGTCACATCCTTAGGTCTCCTTTTAGAAAGCTAACAAACCATGTTAGAAGGAAGAAAAAAAAATCTTTAATGGAGAAGCCTTGCATTCAAGAGAACATACAGCACAGGACACAGTTGAATTCTTTGGCTCATTTTCTGCAGCGACACGGACGAGAACTGCACACCTTTTTTCCTGTTAGAAGCAAAATCTGGTGCTCTTCACAGCCAACTTTGTCAAAGGATTACAGAGAAAAATGAAAGGCTTTAACATTTATGAAGAGTGAATTAGTGCAAACAAATTCCTTGAAATTCCTGTATTTAAAAAACCCCTCACGTATGGGAGAAAGCAGAAAATTCAACTACCTTTAAAGACAACAGAAGACAACAGAATGTCTTTCTAAAGAGCAAGTTCAGTATAAAATTAAGACCTGTATTTGTTTCCTTCAGTCTCACTAGAACTTCAAATAAAACAAAATAGGATAAAAGCTTTAAGTCATGACTAGACTACCAGCAGAAGAAACAGTTCTTGCCTTATTTCTTCCATCGTACCAACTGGGTTAAGGTGGGTAAGTTCCCTGGTTAAAACTAGTGTAAACCCACAAGTTGTTTGTTTGAAATCTGGACCAGTTTCCCAAGTCTGTTTAGCACAGCCCAACCAGTACACAGGGCAAGCAAAACTGTTAACTTAAAACAAGTAACTTCAAGCTTTAGATAGCTACTTCTATTTATGCAATGTACTAATACAGTTCATTTCATCACACTGAAATGGATGTACCTTGTCAAATCATCTTACACACTTGTGTGATTAGAACAATTAAACAACTGAGATTAGAGCACCTCAAAGACAATGAAATAGCATCTCAGATCTGCTGGTACAGTTGTTTCTGTCAGTACAGCTTTCAACTGCATACCAGATTCTGAAACAATTATATATCATATGTTAGTTAAATATATATTTTTATATTGATATATTTTAAATTGTTTGTTTATATGTATTTATATGTATTACACATTAGATTATGCATTACTATCCACCTTCCAGTGAGTCAGAAGTTGGGCAACAAGACAAATGCAAATACGATAATTTTCTTATAAATGTGATAAGCAGGCTACCAGGCAAACAGACTAGCCAATACATTTCACTCCTTACTGCTCTGGACAAGCTAAAGGCCCTGATGCACTGTTTCAGTCTCAGTATCAACTGTGGTTTTCTATAAACACAGGTTGATATAAAACTAATACGTGCAAGTCAATTGTAAAAGGTGCAAGTCACATTAAGCATGGTACAGTAGCTTTCAGAAATACTTTCCAAAATAATTTCTTTGAAGTCTAGCTAGCCATTATAACAAAAATGCAGCATATTTAAAAACCATGACCACACTACTATTTAAAGATTAAATCAATGCCATTTTGCAAGGTACTCAGTCAACTATTTGGAGCAGGTGCTACAGCAAAGGAGGAACTAATCGTTAAGTTTCCGGGCCGAGGACATGGCTGCTGTGTCAGAGAAACTTCCCCAGAAGGTTGACTTTTCATAATTAACCTACAAAATGGAGAGGGGCGGGGGAGGGACAGGATGGACAGACAACTTCATAGAATCCTATCACAGAATGGTTTGGGTTGGAAGGGACCTCAAAGATCATCTAGTTCCAACCCCCCTGCCATGGGCAGGAACACCCTCCACTAGACCAGGTTGCCCAAAGCCCCATCCAGCCTGGCCTTGAACACTTCCAGGGAGGGGACATCCACAGCTTCTCTGGGCAACCTGTTCCAGTGCCTCACCACCCTCAATGTAAAGAATTTCTATCGTCTAATCTAAATCGAC